AAAAAACACTATGAACCAATAATAACAATGAACACTATCACCACCTCAACATCATCTCCTTTTAAATAACTAATCTCGTAAAGCGCTCTTAAATAAACTGTGTAATACTTTTAAGTCAAAAGATAAAATGTTCCAGTGACCAACGGCTCTGTACGTAACTGTTTTAAAAAAAACGGCTGCGCCAATCAACATGAAATTTGGCAGGACTGTATATGAGTCTGACCTACACTGCACCAGCCAACGGTTTTATGATAGACCCCATATTTGAGGAGGGGGCTCCTTTCAAAGAGGGGGTGTCAGGACATGCAAAAATGCTTATAACTCAGAAACTGTTCAACATAGAAGCTTCAGATTTCTTTTGTTGTTTAGCTCTGATGAAGCTCTATCCATCAGGCCCACCAATCAGTGCCCCCCTCCCCCAATTTTCTGAAAAGGGTGTGTCTAGCAAGTATTCAAATTAACAATGTCACAGTAGTCCAACAGGGGCAGAAAGGTCATTAAAACAAGATGCTTCCTAGCACTGAAAGAGAAACATGATCTATTTCTAAAGAAAAAGCCTAGTTTTATCTTTAACTTCTTAACAAGATTTTCAATATGCAACTTAAATAAAAGCTTATTGTCAATTTCTATGCCAAGGTATTTTTATGTCTCAACATACTCTGTTGGCATACCAGTCAATGTTTTTATAGGGGGCAGAGTTTGTGAAACTTTCTTCTTGTTGGCAAACAGCATGACTTTTGTCTTTACAGCACTTAAGACTAATCTCAGCTGAAGCAAGTCCGTTTGAATAATATCATATGCAGACTGAAGATGTCCAAGCGTAGCAGTTACAGATTTTGCCTTGGAATAAACCACAGTGTCATCAGCATAAAAATGTGTACAAGCATCAGTTATTTTATCCCCAACGCTGTTTACATAAATTGAAAACAGAGTAGGACCCAAAACTGAACCCTGTGGTACACCCTTTGTGATATTTAAATAAAGAATGAAATTACATTTAAGAAAACCCATTCAAGAAGAGCCAGAGGAGTAGTGAGTTTAGCAGCAAAGCAGAGAAAAATAATGAGGAGGGAGGGAAAAAGCGCATTACTCCTCTGAGAGCAGAAAAAACCCTAACTGTGCTGCTGAAATGTTTAATTCCATTCTGTGCAGAATAAACACACCATCAATTAGGTTGAGCTGGAACTCCTGAGCCCGACTTTATTTATGCAGCACAGAGGTTTATTGTTAAACTGATGAGCGAAGCTACACTGGCTAACCTTTGAACACCCCTGGACATAAAATCTTTGTTCAAGACGTTGTCATGTAAATATGATGATATTCCTTTATGCTACTTTCATTATTTCTATTTTACATGGAAAATTATAAATAGTTCAAGCAAATAGGCATCATTTGTTTTTGAGGAAAAAGTCTACAGGAAATAAATTTCTGACCATGATACTTTATGATTGAAACAATAAAACCAAAGATCAGATCAGTCAGAAAATGTTTATTTCTCTTCAGTCTGAGATAATCTTCATTCAAACATCACAAACTTTAATTTTACAGAAACTTTCTGAAACTGAGAACAAGTTTTAATTTGTAATTGATGACATTTAGTTTAAAACTACGACCAGCTAAAGCAGCTCTCTGTTCGAATCTGTGTGAAACTAAAGTTGTGTTTGAATTATTCTGAGGATTATTTATTTAGCTGTTTTATCTATCCAGTCTTTGTAAGCACAAACATCCATGATGCCGACTGGTTCTTTACAAGCAAATTTTGGATCTCCAGTAAAAGAAATGACTCCATAGAGGACGTCCTCGCCCTTTTCCACCTTCACCACTCCTCCACCAGAGTCACCCTGTGGGACAGAAACAAGTTTACTTTCATAAATATATTTAGGATCTTATTGTGATGTCACTGGGTAGACTTGAATTATATTAATAAAACATATTATACTTTTAATGTTCAGATGATAACTTACACAACATGCATCCTTGTTTGAGCTCTGAACACTGAACCAATGTTGAAAATCCCTTTCATGGTAGTCACCATCGTTCACTAAAACATTGATCAGTCTCTGATTATCAACCACTGTCATGTCCACACACTGAAGAACTGCTGGAGGAGCATCTTGGACTGTAGCAAAATAAACAAATATTAAACTTGTGAATGTCCATTTTTCAAGTAAACAAACAAACTAAACTAAAACCCAAGTTATTAACCAATTTGCACAATAAAAATTA